CAAGAGCTCCTGTAGAAAGCTTCGTCTTCTATGGCTTGGCCGGGGAGATATACAGCCCTACAGCTCCTTTGCTGAAGGACTTCAGTCTGCCATCACGGAAACCTGAATTCTTTTCCCCTGGAAGTCTACAAAGCTCTGCTTGGTAAGGGTCACTCGTGGAAGCCAGAAGCAGTTGGTACCGGGTGCAGGGGCTCCACGCCAACAGAGGCAAAGACACACAGAATTTATGTCCTGTCTACAGTCTTATGCACAGGCCCAGCGTATGACAGCACAGCGCGAATAAGCTCCCTCTGTCAGCTCCGGCACTCCATATGGGGACATGAAAGAAGCCTCCCACAAGGATGGTAAAAACATCAAAACATCCAGGCATTCCCATGGCAATGTCCTTGCAGATAGCCAATTCTCTCACACCAGAAGCAACTTGCAGTTTCTCAAGTCGCTCCTGACACACAAAAAATCATACCTCTGGATTTCTGAAACATGTGGCCTTTCAGGGTTGAAAGCCTTTTTTGTGAGTTCAAATGACAAAACTAATCCCGTTAACAGCTTTTTCTTGTGCTTATGATGCTTCCTGTGATCAAAGGACAATGAGGACATTCTTATTGCTGTGAGCATCTTAATTTGTAAATATAATCCCCTTAATAATCCCAACAAAAACCACACAGCAGCTATATTTTTATTGGGCCAACTCCAAAGTATATAATACACCATGCAGGCATTTGAAGCTTGAATGGCAATCACAGCTACATGTGAATGTGTTTCCTTAATGCTGCCATGGTGGATCCAATTGGAAACAGCTTGTTCATGAGCAGGTTGATGGACACATTTTATGCCACAAGGGAGGTGGCAGTTCATTCTGAACCTGGCACGTGAAGTGCTAAATTCCTGCTTTCTTTGAAAAAATGTTTCTGAGTTCTTTCGATAAATCTGCTTATTCATGCACATCTCAGAAGCTTATCTGATCTGGCTGTTGAAAGGTCAGAGAGCACAAGTTCAAGGGTGGATTTGGTCTCAGAGCTGCCATCTGAAACACTAGGAAACGCTTGGAGAGTCCCAGTACCAGGGAATCAGAGTTGGCGGTGCTCATTGTGTGCCTGTGCCCACGCACTTAAGCTTCATGACTTATAGATGTTTGTTATTTCATGCACTAGTGCCGGAGGAGCAAATAGGCTTTGTGCTGATTTAGTAAATCTGGTGATTTGCTGCTGAGATGGGGAACGTCCCAAACATGGAACTGATCTCTTTTTTAAAAAATAGTTTTTATTGTGAAATTTTGAAACTTAACAATGAAAGAGGGGGAACAATCAAGGTAATAGAAAAGTGGGAAGTCAGAAGGGTAATAGCAAGAAGGGAGGTGAGAGACGGGGTGGATGGTAGTTGGGCGGTTAAAGGGTGGTGGGATAGGTCGGGGCTCTGGGATGGAGAGCAGGGGGGAGAGTTGTTTATTTATTTATTTACTTTGCTTATATACCGCTGTTCTCAGCCCGGGGGCGACTCACAGCGGTGTACAACATAGGGAGAACAAAATTCAAGACACAGTATAAAACAATTCACAATCCAGCATTATACAAAAACATCGTCATTACTACGAAAACCATTCAGCGTCGTCTCATCGTCCAGGCCACAATCCAGTATCATTTCCGTTGTTCCATTCCTATAGTCATTACCAATCATTGCACTTCTTGTTCGAACGCCTTCTTGAACAACCAAGTCTTTAATTTCCTGCGGAATATCATCAGGGAAGGAGCCAGTCTGATGTCCACGGGAAGGGTGTTCCACAGCCGAGGAGCCACCACCAAGAAGGCCCTGTCTCTCGTCCCCGCCAGGTGTGCCTGTGAGGCAGGCGGGATCGAGAGCAGGGCCTCCCTGGACGATCTCAAAGTCCTGGTGGGCTCGTAGGTCGAGATGCGGTCAGATAGGTATCTTGGGCCGGAACCGTTTAAGGTTGCATTTATTTATTTATTATTTATTTACTTTGCTTATATACCGCTGTATCTCAAGCCCGAAGGCGACTCACAGCGGTTCACAAACAGTAAAAACAGTAGAAACAGCAGTGGTTCCATACAACATATAACAATTGACTTAACACACTATCCATAAATTACCAATAAGCAATTACAATGCACAATTATTACAAAAAACAATCGTACCCAATCTTCTCATCATCCAAGCGTAGTCCAGGTTCGTCGTCCATTGTTCCATTCCTATGTTCCATTACCAGATTGCACTAAATTACTCAACGCTGCTCAAACAGCCAGGTCTTCACTTTTTTGCGGAATACCATTAGAGATGGTGCTAGTCTAATGTCCGTAGGAAGGGCGTTCCACAGCCAAGGAGCCACCAAGAAGGCCCTATCTCTTGTCCCCGCCAGCCGAGCTTGAGAAGCAGGCGGGATCGAGAGCAGGGTCTCCCCGGAAGATCTCAAAGTCCTGGTGGGTTCATAGGCAGAGATGCGGTCAGATAGGTAGCTTGGGCCGGAACCGTTTAGGGCTTTAAAGGTCAACGCCAGCACTTTGAATTCAGCCCGGTAGCAGATCGGTAGCCAGTGGAGTTGGCGCAACAGGGGGGTTGTATGCTCCCTGCGCTCCGCTCCTGTTAGAATCATGGCTGCCGAGCGTTGGACTAGTTGAAGCTTCCGAGCCGTCTTCAGAGGCAACCCCACGTAGAGAGCGTTGCAGTAGTCTAAATGGGATGCAAGTCGGCAGCCAATGGAGTTGGCGCAACAGGGGGGTTGTATGCTCCCTGCGTCCCGCTCCTGTTAGTATCATGGCTGCCGCACGTTGGACCAGTTGGAGCTTCCGGGCCGTCTTCAAAGGCAACCCCACGTAGAGAGCGTTGCAGTAGTCTAAACGGGATGTAACCAGAGCGTGGACTACCGTGGTCAAGTCAGACTTCCCAAGGTACGGGCGCAGCTGGCGCAAATTGAGGACAAAAAGTATAATATATATAATTCAGAATGGGGAAAACTATGCATTAAGGAATGGTTTACATATAATATTGAGTTAAAGGGGTAAGACACAAAAGTCATTTCTTGAATGGCTCCTCACCATTTTATATCATTGTTACTAGAAGCAGTGTAGGACATTCCCATTGGCTTGGAATAGGATAAAGGGCTGCGGTGGCACAATGAGTTAAATCACTGACCTGCTGAACTTGCTGACTGGAAGATTGGCGATTCGAATCCACAGGACAGATTGAGCTCCCACTCTTAGCCCCAGCTTCTAATAATCTTGCAGTTTGAAAACATGCAAATGTAAGTAAATCAATACCACCTCAGCAGGAAGGTAAACGGCGCTCCATGCAGTCATGCCAGCCACATGACCTTGGAGGTATCTATGGACAACGCAGGCTCTTCAGCTTAAAAATGGTGATGAGCACCATCCCCAGAGCCGGAAGGTTAAGCCTTTACGTTTATCTGTGTTTTGTTGTTTCTAGTGATTCAATGTTTCCCTTTGTGTGTTGTGTATTCTGGAATCAGCCCTGAGTCCCTTTGAGGACATAGGATGGAATACAAATAAAGTATTATTATTATTATTATTATTATTATTATTATTATTATTAGCCATCCCTGCCACGCGTTGCTGTGGCCCACATGGGGGTTCTGTGTGGGAGGTTTGGCCCAATTCTATCGTTGGTGGGGTTCAGAATGCTCTTTGACTGTAGGTGAACTATAAATCCCAGCAACTACAACTCCCAAATGTCAAGATTCTATTTTCCCCAAACTCCACCAGTGTTCACATTTGGGCATATTGAGTATTCTTGTAGAGTTTGGTCCAGATCCATCATTGTTTGAGTCCAGAGTGCTCTCTGGATGCAGATGAACTACAACTCCAAAACTCCAGTATTTTCTGTTGGTCATGGGAGAACTGTGTGCCAAGTTGGGTTCAATTCCATCGTTGGTGGGGTTCAGAATGCTCTTTGATTGTAGGTGAACTATAAATCCCAGCACTACAACTCCCAAATGACAAAATCAAAAACAATTGAGTGAAAAACATACATTGGGTTGTTAGGTGTATGCTGTCCAAATTTGGTGTCAATTCGTCCAGTGATTTTCGAGTTCTGTTAATCCCACAACCAAACATTAAATTTTTAATTATATAGACTAGCCGTCCCCTGCCACGCGTTGCTGTGGCCCATTCTGATGGCCATGGGGGTTCTTTGTGGGAGGTTTGGCCCATTTCTATCGTTGGTGGGGTTCGGAATGCTCTGTGATTATAGGTGAACTACAAATCCCAGCAACTACAACTCCCAAATGTCAAGATTCTATTTTCCCCAAACTCCACCAGTGTTCACATTTGGGCATATTGAGTATTCGTGTAGTTTGTCCAGATCCATCATTGTTTGAGTCCACAGTGATCTCAGGATGTAGGTGAACTACAACTCCAAAACTAAAGGACACTGCCCAACAAACCCTTCCAGTATTTTCTGTTGGTCATGAGAGAACTGTGTGCCAAGATTGGTTCAATTCCATCGTTGGTAGGGTTCAGAATGCCTTTTGATTGTAGGTGAACTACAAATCCCAGTAAGTACAACTCCTAAATGTCAAGGTCTATTTTCCCCAAACTCCACCAGTGTTCGCATTTGGGCATATTGAGTATTAGTGCCATGTTTGGTCCATATCTATCATTGTTTGAGTCCACAGTGCTCTCTGGGTGTAGGTGAACTACAAGTCCCAAACTCAAGATCAATGCCCACCAAACCCTTCCAGTATTTTGTGTTGGTCATGGGAGTCTGTGTGCCAAGTTTGGTTCAATTCCATCATTGGTGGAGTTCAGAATGCTCTTTGATTGTAGGTGAACTATAAATCCCAGCAACTACAACTCCCAAATGACAAAATCATATTTTTTGAGTGATGGTCACTCCTTGTGTTGTGAGACGTTTTGTTGACAAATTTGGTGTGATTTCATTCATTGGTTCTTTTGTTTTTAAGGTACTCATTATGCACAGAGCATTTATATATAGATAGATAGATTATGGTGATGAAAGAAACATGCAGTCCATTGGATTTATTCAATTTATTTTGAAGAATGAAGATTTTTTTCACACGTCCATTGCACTGTAAGACTTCAATACAACAAACTTGAACACCCAGGGGATATTATGAAACAGTTTTACACCTGCGGTACCCCCATCCAAGTAGGCAAGGAGCTGCCTTGGAACAAGCACTCACACATTTGCAAGGACCAAGGCCACAGACAGTCCTCACATAGAGGAACCAGTTCTCAAAATGGATTCTTCATGAACACTGATTAGCTGAAAGTCCAATATCTCCCCAACTATAACTAGGATTGTTCCAAGAACCAAATCTAAGTCTTCTTCATTATTTTGATGGGATTCTGGAGCTATAATTGACACAAATTAAGATCCTCAGTTTACAAAATTGTTACTTAAACACAAGCCCATTTAAAGCAATCTGGACAGATGTGCCACTTCCATCCTTGCTTTGAGCCTTCTGTTGCCATCTCCTTTCCAGAATTCTTCCCACGCGCACTTAGTTATCCCATAGGTTAAAGTGTCTTTCTACTGTATTTCAATTCCTGTGTTTGCTATTTACCTCTCAAAGAAATCTAGCTGTTGTCCTTTTCAATCCTGCAGTCTCCTTCCTATCTTCATATCATCTATGCCCCAGAAATAAAAGAGCAATATATATATATGTATATATTCCTGGCATTTGCTCTCCCTAAAAGAGCAAAATAAATCTCATATTACTGATAACAAAAGGCAACCAAAGTGCAAACGTGGTACCCTCATGGGCTCACATTTCACAGTGGTCATGTCTGTTCCCAATGAGGTTGATTTACAAAGGGTTTGGGGAGGAATGGATATATATATGAGCAAACACAAGCATAACAGGGGCACATCATCAATTTATCTCATTCTCACTTCTTTGCACACTCTCTCCCACACACACCTCAAGAATAATTGGTTCTCTTTGAGCCAGGCAGCTGTCATGGCTTGTACAGAAGTCCTTGTCACCGCTGGCTTAAGTGGGAAACAACATAGATGAGGCCCACCAAGAGCAGGCCACGCACACCCACCATCATGAGGAGGAACAGTAGTAAGATGGACATGACCGGCTCTACCACCTGGTTGCCAAGGTTCCAGGTGGGGAATCCCATGTTAACCAACTGTTGATTGATATCTGAAAACGGTGAGCGTTCCCCTGGCCTTGCACCCGGATGGTGGTGACGTTGCTGCTGCTGCTGCTGCTCATAGTGCTGTTGTGGAGCAGGACCTGCATTTGTGTTGAAAAAAGCCTGTGGAGAAAACCCAGGGAAAGGGAATGAATTCATCAAGCCATTCTTGGCTAATGAAATGACAAGTCTAAGAAAGAAGGCAAGAAATGTAGGTCGAAGCTGGTCGCAGAATCACTCTGCAGGACCTAACATACCTAGAGAGGGTGTTTTAATCAAATGTGAGAAGAATCAAACCCGTAAATGTGGAGTGCCAACAAGCTAATGCAAATTATTTATTATTATTTATTTACAGTATTTCTATACCGCTTTTCTCACCCCTAGGGGGACTCAAAGCGGTTTACACATAACTGGCAAAACTTCAGTGCCATACATTGGACACTGACGCGGTATTTATTTGTCGTGTCAGACACGATGCCAATCCATAACCACCACAATAATAAAACGACAATTAAGCATAAATCATAATCAGACAGTACATAAGCAATCATTGAAACAATAAATAATAAAAACAGTCTTGCCAGTCGTATTGTCATTCTAGTCCATGTCCTTTAAACTCTACAAACATCTACTGTCCGAAGGCCTGGTCCCAAAGCCATGATATTAATTTTTTTCTAAAAGTCAGGAGGGAGGGAGCAGATCTTACCTCATTTGGGAGTGTGTTCCATAGGCGAGGGGCCACCGCCGAGAAGGCCCTGTCTTTCATCCCCGCCAGCCGCATTTGTGCAATTGACAGGAGCGAGAGCAGGGCCTCCCCGGATGATCTTAGATTCCGAGATGGGACGTAGGGGTGGATGCATTCGGACAAGTAAGCTGGGCTAGAACCGTATAGAGCTTTATAGGTCAAAACCAGCACTTTGAATTGGGCTCAGAGATGGACTGGCAGCCAGTGGAGCTGGCACAACAGGGGGGTGGTATGCTCCCTGTATATCACCCCGGTTAGTAATCTGGCTGCCGCCCATTGGACTAGCTGAAGTTTCCAAATCCTCTTCAAAGGCAACCCCATGTAGAGCGCATTACAGGCCGGAATGCCTTTTATTCACATATGGTTTTACTGTATGTATGGGCAAGTGTGTATGTTTTGTATGTTTGGCACATTTTTATATGGTCAAAATTGACTAATCAATAAAGAACCGTTGTTGTTTAATACAATGCTCTGCTTACTTACACTAACACTTCTTTTTTTAAAAATGCATGCAAATTCCCTGTTCTCATACTCCATAGCAGCATTCTTTTATAGCAAAACACGTACTTATATGTGAACAACTTGTGCTTTCATTACACAAACATTGATGATCAGAGGCCACATGCCCCTGAATGCAAGCTGCTGGGGAACATGAGCCAGTAAACACGGTTGTAGCAATATTCTGTTTGTGAGCTTCCTAAAGTCCTCAATTTGGAAATCAAGTGCTGATCCAAACAAGAGCTATAATTTGCTCTACATGGTTCCACTTGGGTTGTCAGTGTACATCTGGCAGACTACCAGATGAGAACAAATACACGAAGAATGAGAGGTGATGATGCACTCAGGTCTTGCTTAAGGGCTGCCCACAGACAACTGGGTAGCTACCATTTGAATAGAATGCTAGATTGAATTGACTCTGCTCCAACAAGGCTTTATAAAAGGTTTTTCCTGGCAATGTATAAAATGGCTTTATAAAGAATGATCAGAGTACGAATCAACCATACTAAATATTTAGGCAACCATTTATAGCAGAAATTGTAAAGTCTCATACATATAAGGACGGTTTTAAATGGTGTATTTTAATATTTTGATAAATGTTTTTTAATGTTTATGTATTGTATGTAAATCTGTGTTTGCCGTGTATATGCTGTGCTCCGCCCTGAGTCCCCTTCGGGGTGAGAAAGGCGGAATATAAATGTTTTAAATAAATAAATAAATAATCATCTTTAAATTTGTGCAACACAAAGTAGCTGCATGCAGTAACATCCTGCGGAAACTTACTGGCAGCACATGGGGTGCAGACCCAAAATTAGTAAGAACACCAGCCCTAGCCTTGTCTTATTCAACTGCCTAGTATGCCTGCCCTGTTTGGCATAAGTCTGCCCATGCAAAGCAGGTGAACATAGCATTGAATGAAACACGCAGAATAATCACAGGATGTCTTAAACCTACACCTGTTGATAAACTCTACAAGCTAGCTGGTATCCCCCTCCCCCCGATGTGTGACGGGAAGTTGCTGCTAAATGTGGGAAATAAGGTTGAACACTGTGAAAGCCACCCACTACATGGCTACCAGCCTCCTCCCAGTAGACTCAAATCAAGGAGAAGCTTTATGAGAACTACCACTCTTCTTGGTGTCCCCCCAGCAACAGCAAAGGTATCCCTCTGGGCAGCTAAACCAGGAAATCCCAATTTGATGGCCCTCCATGAGGGTATTCCTCCAGGGGCAAACCAAGAATGGGCAACTTGGATGTCCCTGAATAGACTCAGAAGTGGGATGGGCAGATCAAAAGACAACCTGGGAAAATGGCACTACCTACGCCTTGAGTGACTGTGGAGCAGAACAGACAACTCTGCATCTGTATGCTTGTCCACTGTGTCCTCATATACAGAGGAAGAACTGTTGGAGGCTACAGACAATGCCATTGCTGTCGCCCATTTTTGGTCAAAAGATATTTAGCTGCCTGCGTTCTTTCTGTTTTTATCAGTTTTATATTAATTTATGCAATGCTTTTGATACAAAATAAATAAATCATCTTTAAAAAGTACAAAACACAAGATGTTCACATTGCCTCACCGGTCGGGAGTTCTCCCTGTTCTGAGTGCTCTGTCTTACTCGAGGATCGTCGTCTTGTACAATATCTCCATTGGCCAAAATCCGCACCATCCTTGGAGCTTGATCGTGTTTGGTTACACCTGCAACCCACAGGAGAACAATGTTTAGCCAGATCAACTGATCCCTTTGCAATGAAGCAAGACAAGAAGGGACATGCCTTCATGACATAATACTAGACTTTTCCATTATCAGTTTTTTCAGAATAAACCCAGAACTGCTGTTGCATAGTCACACCCATGTGCACATTGGAATTCTTAGTCCATTGATTTTTTTTTCATTTTTGTATTGTTCTAACTAGTTCCTATTTGTTCATTACTTCAAGAGGTCTTGTTGAAGGAAACACAAAAAGACTTTCAATAAATAACCATTCTGAAAGCAGAAAAACAATAGGAAAAAATAACAGGAGGGAAAAGGACAAGAAAACTTGGGCACAAGTTCATAACATCATTACAAGCAGTCCCCAAGTTACAAACATCCAACTTATACCAACTCCTAGTTAGAGTTATGGGGGAAAGGCGCCTGCACTGAAGCTTTATCACCAACCCTTGTTTCCATGACAACCCACATTTTCAAAATCCAGTTGTCACATGGATAGAAAGAGAGGTTAAATATTCTGAAATGAGGCACAGACAGGAAAAACAAACCTTACAGAGATGTTAATCCTTTCCTATGCTGTCCAAAACTTTTAAAAAATGAAGTTATACCTGTTTCGATTTACAAATTCTACTTAAGAACAAACCTATAGAATAATAATATTAATAATCATCATCATAGAATCAAAGAGTTGGAAGAGACCTCATGGGCCATCCAGTCCAACCCCCTGCAAAGAAGCAGAATCAAAGAGTTGGAAGAGACCTCATGGGCCATCCAGTCCAACCCCCTGCCAAGAAGCAGGAATATTGCATTCAAATCACCCCTGACAGATGGCCATCCAGCCTCTGTTTAAAAGCTTCCAAAGAAGGAGCCTCCACCACACTCCGGGGCAGAGAGTTCCACTGCTGAACGGCTCTCACAGTCAGGAAGTTCTTCCTCATGTTCAGATGGAATCTCCTCTCTTGTAGTTTGAAGCCATTGTTCCGTGTCCTAGTCTCCAAGGAAGCAGAAAACAAGCTTGCTCCCTCCTCCCTGTGGCTTCCTCTCACATATTTATACATGGCTATCATACCCCCCTCTCAGCTTTCTTATTTTTACAATACAGAAAATACATACCTTGCACACACAAAACATTTACAATTCCCACCACCAACATGAGGATTATTATCTTTCACATATTCATTTCTTTTTGAGACAATCATTATTTCTTTATCTTTATACATTTCCATCCTGTATGCTATATAGCATTTGTATCTTATTTCTTATGACTTGATCTCCGGAATGATTCATAATATAGTTCATTACCCTTGTCCATCTATCTTCCATTTCTCTCATTCGATTTTCATTGATTTTTAAATCATTTAATTTTTCCCACATTCTTCATAATTATCCCAAAATTTCCCATTTTCTTTTCCACCGATTGGTTACTTGGTTAACCTAAGTTAAAATTGTTATTTTGGGTCCCAATTTTTTGAATTTATCTTTTCCAACCTAATCTAATTTTAACTGGCTTTTGTGCCACAATTTCCCCAATGTTATGTGCCTTCTTTTTTATTTTCCCCTTATCTCTAATATATTTCGCCTGGTCCTTGTTCCTTTTTTTTTTTTTTTTTTTTTTTCCTTGTCCCTAAATACCCGCTTAATTTTTCCTAATGTATGACACCCCCCCACCTCCTTTCCCTAGTAATTTGATTTTAACAACAATTTTTTATTGAATTATTTATACTTATAAATGTTTTAAATGTTTTCCTATCACTTCTTTCCCCTTTGCCCCCTTTCCCCCCCCCCTCTTCTTCAGGCCCTTTTAAACCCCATTCCCCCCCAAAGCTCCTTAAGCCCCCACTCCTTCCATAAGGGCCTTTGTTTTTTCCCTCCAGACCCCCCTTTGATCCCCATTTTAAGTTACCGCCCCTCCCCTTCCCCTGGAACAACAAATTTGCCAAAGCTTGTCCAAAATTTATCCCCCCCCCCCCCTCTTGATTGTGGTGGGTTCCCCAAAGGCTTTGGTCTTGAGGAAACAGCCAAGGAGGCCCCCAGAAAGGAGAAAGATCTAGAACCCCCTAAAGCACATGAAGCCCAGAAATTATGACCCACATATTTCCCCAGGTGATGGGGGGTCCACACTAAACCCCTGAAGGCGGATGGAAGGAGGGGGGTAAAGCCAATTACTTTCCCCTATAGAATCCTAGACCATGGGGGGTCCACAAACATTTTTTTAAATAAGAGGGCGGAGGGCCCCCCCGGTCCCCAAGCAATCCACCCTCAGAACCTGTTGGTGCCGGGTCCCGGATTAAATAACTTTGTCGAAAAAAAAATCATGTCACAATTGCAAATTATGATCTTTGATTTATGTTGATTGCAAAAAAAACATTTTTAAAAAACAATACAGGTATTAAAAAAAATCAAAGACATTTTTGTTTCACTTGGCTGCTATATCTTAAAACATTCATTGAAAATAATGTAGGGCCCCTGCCCTTTTTTTTGGCCTGAAATGGGAGGAATAGGATTTAAATGTTTGTTTGGTTTTTTTATGTTGGGGGGTTGGGGTGGACTTTTTCACAGTAGTTTCAGTACTTAAAGCTTATTTGTGACCCGAGCGAGACGGGCTTGGGTAAAATGAACCTTTAGGAGGGCCCCCGCATTTCCCGGCCCCCCCCCGGGGCCCTTAGTTCTGACCAGGGACCCCTGCAAACTTCCTAGAACCACCCTAATGTTATAATAATATACTTATTGTCTACTCTCAGAGCCAACACACAACCACATGAAAATATTGAAATCGGAAGTTCAAAACATTAAAAATTGGGCAAACATCCCCAAAGCCACCAAATACAAACCAATAACCTCCGCCCTAAACCAAGAATTTAATACAAACCCCCAACCATATAAATAACAAATTTTAAATAACCCTTAAACAAACTAAAATTAAAAATAAAAAGCACAGCCCTGTTTCTAAGGTACGGCCCATAGACACAAAAACCTCCCACCCAATAACCAAAAACCGGAAACCATTGAATTCCCCCCCCATTTCCTTTGGGGGCAGAAAATCTTCTCCTTTGTTTTTCCTAAACTCCGAGAAACTGCCTTTTTTTTAAAATTCCCATTCACGACTGAAAACTATTTCCTTCCTCTAACAATTCCATTGGAAGGCCAAGTGATTTTGAAGCCCAAACTAGAAGTGTGGCATTGTGGGGGGGGGGTTGGGTGTTTCCAACCCCCCTTTGTTAGGAGGCCTTCCCTTAGAAGAAATGGCAAGAACCAATGTGTTCCTCACTTAAATTCCTTAGAACTAGTGGCAAAAGTTTTCCATTTAACAACCAATAAAAAAACTTTTTACCCAGGTCCCCCCCCAGGGCCCCCTGCCCCTTTTTTAAGGTTTTTGTGGACAGGAAAACTTTAGATGAAACCTGTTCCGAATTAATTTTTAAACTGCATGGAAGTAAAGTCCGACCCTACATACCACCATGTAACAAGGTTTTTTTTTATAGTAGCAAAGCCGTAACTCCCACTTAAAATTTAACCCACCATTTTGGGTAAGCCATTCCCCCTTTCCTAACAGTTGTAAAAAACCAAAGGCCTTGCACCTATTGAAAGGCCCCTAATGTTGGGCATAAAGGAGCAGGGCAAAAATAAAAAAACAAATAAAAAGAGCCATTCTTCTAATACTCTCTCCCCATTTTTATACACTAGATGTATTGAAATGCCTGCTAAATAGTTAATCATGGCACCTTTCCGGTAAATGAGAAAGGGTTTTCACTATACAATGTCACATATTAATTAGCAAATGGTTATAGTCTAATATCTAACTCCAAGCCAAAACTGAGAATGCCAACTGCTCTCTCATTCCTTGGAAGGCAACTCACCAATTCCCAGGACAGCTCCACCACTGTGATAATGCTCTACAACTCCATCCGATAGATGCGGGCAACTCTGGCCTTCATAGATGTGGCCAACTCTGGTCCTATAATCCCTTATCACTAATTACCCCAGATGGAAGTTGCAAGCCATCAATGTTTAGAGCAGGCTTGCACATGCTGTGGCCCTCCAGGTGTTTGGGACTGTGATTCCCAGAAGCCCTAGCCAGTTTGTCCAATGGTCAGGAATTCTGGGAGCTGAAATACAAAACAACTGGAAGGCCACAGGTTGAAGTATCCATCTGTGAACTGGAACATTGCCATGTGCTAGTTTAACATTAAATATAGAACTTTGAAATGTTACCATCACAACTAGTTGGTTTGTTGTTATTTTTGTCAAGTCAGGAGCGACCTGAGAAACTGCAGGTCGCTTCTGGTGTGAGAGAATTGGCCGTCTGCAAAGACGTTGCCCAGGGGACGCCCGGATGATTTGATGTTTTATCATCCTTGTGGGAGGCTTCTCTCATGTCCCCGCATGAGGAGCTGGAGCTGATAGAGGGAGCTCATCCGCTCTCCCCGGATTCGAACCTGCGACCTGTCGGTCTTCAGTCCTGCCGGCACAGGGGTTTAACCCACTGCACCACCGGGGGCTCCGATCACAGCTAGTGAGGATGTGGTGGTGACTGACTCTACAGTCCTCATTTCAGCAAGTGTGAAGAGAACAATGCTGCAGTACTTTTCCCTTATCTTTCAAGTTAGTATGCTGTCTTCAGTCATATTGATGTGTTGTTGTTGGCCTCATGTAAGCTGCTCAGAGTCCTTTGGGGAGATGGTGGCAGGGTATAAATAAATTATTATTATTATTATTATTATTATTATTATTATTATGGATACTGTCCCATCAACAGCACCAAAGTGAGGAGGAAGATTCAGCAATCATCCTCTTTGGGAGCATCTACATGGTAGAATTAAAGAGTGTGACACCATTTCAACTGCTACAGTTCAATGCTATGGAATCATGGGATCTGTAGTTTGGTGAGGCACCAGTACTCTTTGGCAAAAAAAGTGAAAGACTCTGTAAGACTACAACTCCCATGATACCGTAGCACTTGAACCATGGCAGTCAAAGCGGTGTCAAACCCCGTTCATTTTACAATACATATGCACACTTTGCTGCTGTACGATGAATGCGCCAATATTTAAGATCTATTCATGGGGTGCTGTGGTTTTTAACTGTTTTAGTGGTTTTTAACTGTGCTGTATATGTTTAGTGCTGTTTGAATGTTTGCACTTTTGCATGTTTTAATATCAAGCCGCTTTGAGTCCCCTTTGGGGAGATAAAGCAGGGTATAAATAAATATAATAATAATACATGTCATTTTATCCTCCACTTCAAAATATCTCAGCCAGCCCTTCAACACCAGAGAAGATCTCAAGAGTGAAATCCACATCTCCTAAATACATCAACATCAAAAAGGATGAAACTACAACGCCAAAAGCTCCCTGTTTAAATTCCACCTACATCACAAACTTGAGTTTCTTAGACGAGCCATTCTGTTTCAGTTCCTGCTCTCAGCCTGCAACTATGATATTATTTTACAGGAAAATAATAATAACTTGGGGGAGAAGTATGAGGTAATCTTGGATGTACACAGCTGCCTGGTTCAAAGTATTGTGTTGTATGGTCATCAGTATGGACACCGTTTTTGTAAATGCCCTCATAATGTTTCATATAGTTTTAATTGTATTTATTAATATTGGGGGTATAAGATCATCTGGGGAGGCCCTTCTCTCGATCCCGCCTGCCTCACAGGCACGTTTGGCGGGGACGAGAGATAGGGCCTTCTCGGTGGTGGCGCCCTGGCTATGGAGCACCCTCCCTGTGGACATCAGACAGGCGCCCTCCCTTATGTCATTCCGCAAGAGCTTAAAGACTTGGCTATTCGAGCAGGCGTTCAACTAAACATTACAACAACTGGCATTGATGACTGGAACGGAATATGGAATACGAGATTGGTTTACGATTTTACGATGAGACGACGCGGATGATTTAGAGTAATTATTGTTGTATTATTGATGTTATGTGCTTATTGTGTTGTATGAGGGTTGTATTGTAAACTGTTTTTATATGTTGTACACCGCCGTGAGTCGCCCGAAAGGGCTGAGAACGGCGGTCAACAAATGCAATAAATAAAATAATAAGTATATTTTTGGTCATTATCCCATGCTGGGGGAAAGGTGGCATACAAATTATTATGTTATATATACTAATATAATAATAATAATAATAATAATAATAATAATAATAATAATAATAATTATGACGACTCTGGCACAAGCCAGTAAAGGTGGCTCCCGTGGTGATTGGCACACTGGGTGCAGTGTCTAAGGACCTTGGCCTGCATTTAAAAACAATCAGTGTGGACAAAATTACATAACACCATTGCTCAGATGATTCATTGGAACTTGTGCCACAAATACCATCTGCCTGTGACAAAGAACTGGTGGGATCACAAGCCTGAAAAAGTTACAGAAAATGAACACGTCAAGCTACTCTGGGACTTCCGAATTCAGCAGAGTTTTGGAGCACAATACTCCTGACCTCACAATCGTGTTAAAAAACAAAGTATGGATTGTCGATGTTCCAATCCCAGGTGACAGCAGGATTGAAGAGAAACAATTGGAAAAGCTGACACAATATGAGGATTTAAAGATCAAACTGCAAAGACTCTGGCACAAGCCAGTCAAGGTGGTCCCAGTGGTGATTGGAACACTGGGTGCTCTGCACTTAAACACAATCGGCGCTGACAAAATCACCAGCTGCAGAAGGCCACCTTACTGGGATTTGCACGCATTATTCGCCAATACATCACACAGTCCTAGACACTTGGGAAGTGTTCGACGTGTGATCCAATACAACAGCAAGCAGAGTGATCTTGTCTGCTGTGGACTCATCTTGTTGTGTTTCAAATAATAATAATAATAATAATTAGGAGCCCCCTGTGGCACAGTGGGTTAAAGCACTGAGCTGCCGAGCTTGTTGACCAAAAGGTCACAGATTCGAATCCGGGGAGCGGAGTGAGCTTCCGCTGTCAGCCCCAGCTTCTGCCAACCTAGCAGTTTGAAAAAATGCAAATGTGAGTAGATCAATAGGCGGGAAGGCAACAGCGCTCCATGCAGTCATGCTGGCCACATGATCTAGGAGGTGTCTACGGACAATGCTGGCTCTTCGGCTTAGAAATTGAGATGAACACCACACCCCAGAGTCAGACATGACTGGACTTAATGTCAGGGGACCACCTTAAAGTTTTATATATTATACTAGCCATCCCCTGCCACGCGTTGCTGTGGCCCACTCTGGTGGTCATGGGGGTTATGTGTGGGAGGTTTGGTCCAATTCCATCGTTGGTGGGGTTCAGAATGCTCTGTGATTGTAGGTGAACTATAAAATCCCAGCAACTACAACTCCCAAATTCTATTTTCTATTTTCCCGAAACTCCACCAGTGTTCACATTTGGGCATATTAAGTATTTGTGTAGATTCTTGTAGGTTTTTTCGGGCTATAGGGCCATGTTCTAGAGGCATTTCTCCTGACGTTTCGCCTGCATCTATGGCAAGCATCCTCAGAGGTAGTGAGGTCTGTTGGAAATAGGAAAATGGGTTTATATATCTGTGGAATGACAATGGAATAACAAAATCTGGCTACCAGTATTAAAAAACTCTAAAATTACAACAGCAAAACAGCAGAGAGGAAACAACCAGGCACATCTTAACACGTCTCAACAGAACATTTTCCCAGGCTCAGCCAGGCCTTCAAATGCTAATGAAGGTGGTCAGCTGAAACATTCACACCTAGCTTCAGCAGAGAGCTCTTTGCCCCACCCCAGTCATTTCACAGATATATAAACCCATTTTCCTATTTCCAACAGACCTCACTACCTCTGAGGATGCTTGCCATAGATGCAGGCGAAACGTCAGGAGAAATGCCTCTAGAACATGGCCCTATAGCCCGAAAAAACCTACAAGAACCTAGTGATTCCAGCCATGAAAGCCTTCGACAATATTTGTGTAGAGTTTGGTCCATCATTGTTTGCGTCCACAGTGCTCTCTGGATGTAGGTGAACTACAACTCCCAAACTCAAGGTCAATGCCCACCAAACCCTTCTAGTGTTTTCTGTTGGTCATGGGCATTCTGTGTGCCAAATTTGGTTCAATCCCATCATTGGTGGAGTTCAGAATGATCTTTGATTGTAAGTAAACTATAAAAGCAAGCAACTACAACTCCCAAATGACAAAATCAATTTTTTGAGTGAAGGGCATACATTGGGTTGTTAGGTGTCTTGTGTCCAAATTTGGTATCGATTCGTCCAGTGACTTTTGAGTTCTGTTAATCCCACAAACAAACATTGCATTTTTATTTATATAGATTATATTATTATTATTATTATTATTATTATTATTATTATATGTATATGTATGTTTCAAAACAGAGGGTCCTTCCACACAACCATATAATCTAGAATATCCAGACTGATAATCCACAATATCTGCTTTGAACTGGATTATTTGAGTCCACACTGCCATATAATCCAGTTCAACGTGGATCTTATGCAGCTGTGTGGAAGGGGCCTTAACGTTGGGGACTTGAGGTGTGAAAATACAAGGTGAGAGTTCAAAGGAGGATCTCACTCACCTCACTTATTTTTTTCTCCCCCTGGAAGCTCCTCTTCCGCCGACGTCTCTCTGCCTCCTCCTAGAAGAGCTGAGCTCCACATCTTCCGGAAAGGCTGTCACCGCCGGAAGTGACGCAAGACGAAGAAGCCAATGGGAAGGCGCTTCCAAGGCAAGGCAAGACGGGCTGGCCGCTGGAGGACTTCTCGCGCGCCCTCTTCCGACGCTTTTGAGAAGTGCAGGTCTAAACCTCAACTCGTTTTGGAGGAAGAAGGAGGCTGGGTACGTTGGGTAAAATTGTAGCATCAATGCACTTTAACTGCAATGCCTCAAGGCTGTAGAAGCCTGGAAGCTGTGACTCACCAAACTACAACGCCTAGGATTCCCTATCATCAAGACTCACTAACAACAGAACCTCTGAAGATGCCAGCCACAGATGCAAGTGAAATGTCAGAAGAGAATGCCACTTATTTATTATTTATCGTGTCAGTGCAACCAGTCGATTATATTACATTTCTAACAGAACAAAGGAAAAAAACAGACAAAATACAGAATTGTGAGTTTAGTAGTTGATTAGATGTCCTTTGACCAGTATCTGGCCACTTGGAGTGCTTCTGGTGTTGCTGCAAGATGGTCCTCCATTGTGCATGTGGCAGGCTCAGGTTGCATTGCAGCAGGTGGTCAGTGGTTTGCTCTTCTCCACACTCGCATGTCGTGGATTCCACTTTGTAGCCCCATTTCTTAAGGTTGGCTCTGCATCTCGTGGTGCCAGAGCGCAGTCTGTTCAGCGCCTTCCAAGTTGCCCAGTTTTCTGTGTGCCTAGGAGGGAGTCTCTCATTTGGTATCAGCCATTGATTGAGGTTCTGGGTTTGAGCCTGCCACTTTTGGACTCTCGCTTGCTGAGGTGTTCCAGCGAGTGTCTCTGTAGATCTTAGAAAACTATTTCTTGATTTAAGTCATTGACGTGCTGGCTGATACCCAAAAAGGGATGAGCTGGAGATGTCACTGCCTTGGTCCTTTCACTATTGTCTGCTACTTCCCGGCGGATGTCAGGTGGTGCAATACCGGCTAAGCAGTGTAATTTCTCCAGTGGTGTAGGGCGCAGACACTCCGTGATAATGCGGCATGTCTCAATAAGAGCCACATCCACTGTTTTAGTGTGGTGAGATGTGTTCCACACTGGGCATGCGTACTCAGCAGCAGAGAAGCACCTAGCGCAAGGGCAGATGTCTTCACTGTGTCTGGTTGTGATCCCCAGGTTGTGCCAGTCAGCTTTCGTATGATATTGTTTCTAGCACCCACTTTTTGCTTGATGTTCTGGCAGTGCTTCTTGTAGGTAAGAGCACGGTCCAGAGTGACTCCAAGGTATTTGGGTGCACTGCAGTGCTCCAGTGGGATTCCTTCCCAGGTGATCAGGAAGGAATGCTTGTCTGTTCTTGAGATGAAAGGCACATGTCTGTGTTTTAGATGGATTAGGGATCAGCTGGTTTTCCCTGTAATAGGCAGTAAGAGCACCTAGAGCTTCGGAGAGCTTCTGTTCTACCATCTCAAAGCTCCCTGCTTGAGCAGTAATGGCACGATCATCAGCATAGATGAAACTCTCTGTCCCTTCTGGCAGTGGCTGGTCATTTGTGTAGATGTTGAACATGGATGGGACAAGCACGCTTCCCTGAGGCAGGCCGTTCTTCTGTTTCCGCCATCTGCTTCTCTGGCCCTGACACTCAACAAAAAAGCTCCTGTTTTGTAGCAGGTTTCCTATGATCAGACATGGGTCTATTTTTTCCGTAATTCTATGCAAAATAAGTCTCTCCAGAACTTTGAAGAGGTGGCACAACAGGGAGATTGGTCTGTAGCTTTTTGGGTCATTACGGTCTTTGCCTGGCTTCAGGATGGCTTCAGAATGCTACTGAAATATGGCCATACAGCCCGAAAAACTCACACCAATCCAGTGAGTGTAGACATGAAAGCTTTTGACAGCTCAAGATG